ATATATATATATATATATATATATTGGAATTCTTGAGGAAAGCTTCCCAGCAATGAAGTTTCTGTTTATTATAATTGTCTTACTCATCAGCTCCTGAACTGTTGCCACGTTTTTATTGTTACGGACAATGGAGGGCACCAGGTGGTGACAGAATCCAGAAGGTGAGTTTCACATAAAAGCCGGCGGGTGTTGTAGCTGTGATTCACTCTCAAACACACACATACACACACAGAGTGCATGAGTCCATCACCCCAACAGGACCATCCTTTGTCCAACAAAAACCTCCACTGACTCATTAAATTAATTATTGATCCGATAATTAACTCACTCGCCCGAGTTTTATATAAATGATTGGCCTCTTTGTTTGACTTAATAAAGAAGCTCCGTTGGAGTTGAACTTTTATGGATTTGACTTGCTATTTAAAAAGGATTTAAAAAAATAAAGCGAGTGGGAATCCCCCGACCCCGAAACAAAAAAACTTCATTACTTGCCGCTCTTAATTACTCGTATTGATTTGTCCCAACAACCTTATTTTACTATTTCCAAACCTCTTTTCATGAGAACTTGAGAAGTCTGGCTCCAGCAGAGTTTTTCTAATGGTGAGGCACTGAACATGTTATCTGAGCCAAACAGGGTGGAGTGGTCTTATGCAGGCCTTAATCCAACTCTTGTGGGGAGAGCTGCAATGGGACAGAGAATAATTGGCTTTTAAGACTCTAACCCTTCAAAACTTATAAATGCTCAGCAACTGGTCTACTTCTGATAGCGTTTCATTTATGAGAAAATGAGCGGTTACTGACTTTTTAGATGAACACACGTACATTTACACCACCTCCCATGCCCACATTACTCATCTAGCAGCTTAATCTCCTCAAGAGGAAGTTGTTTGATCATTGCTCGTCCAGACCTGGGCAATGAAAGTAATAGCAGTTTAGACCTCCAGATGTGGGCATGTTGACGTCACTTCCCTATTTTGACTTGACAAGTCATCTGCTTCCATCTTGGTGGTGCTTTTTTATTAGATAGGTCATTTTATTAGTTCTTTATATTTTTTTCTCTTCTTGAGACCCTTCAGCTTTATCTTGTGACCTCTTTAGGGGGCCCAACCCGCAGGTTGGCACCCCAAGTGGCACGACCGTATTAGCAGCTGCAGTTGTAATAGTTGAATCGACCGCAGCCACGCATGTTACAGCAGGTTTAAAGTGAGTGTTAGGAGTTGGGAATTTTTTGATACATTTAAAAAATGGTAATTTTGGCCTTTGCATATCCAATGTATATTTTATTTCCCCTCCAATGAAATAAATAAAGGATCCCATTCCTCTGACTTGAAGTTACCTACGATAAAAGACAAATGACATCATGTCATCTGCTACAAACCACAGTGCAAGGAGTCTTCTTTCTCCTGCAGCAAACGATGTTTCAAGCAAGAAATATTGAGGTGGTGATATCCTGGGAAAATCAGCACACGAGAAATTCCATTAAAGCTTTCCTGCGGATTTGACCATGTGACTTTTACTTTCTCTCGCTGGAGGGCTTTCCGTGCAGAAGGTGGGGGCCTGTTTCCCTGAACAGAGTGAGTAACGGTGGTGCCCAATAAGTCTCGTAGACAGGCGCATTCTTATCCACTGACATCCAACACATGCGTTCCAATGTACAAAGACTGTGATGTGAATCAGTGGCATCCTCAGCCGCCAAGGCAAATTCTTTGAGGAGATATGTCAACGCCTTGAATCCCTGTGTGTGCTTGATTTGGTTCCAGGATTCTTAAAAGGGAGTTTCATTATCCCGAAAAAGAATGAATGGTTGCTAATTTGTACTATATGCATAATCGGAAAGATTATGATAAGAACCTGATTACAAAGTTACAATTTTCCGAAAACATATGACGCAACAAGTCACTTGGTAGTTTGGTAAAAGAAATAATGAACTAAAACCACTGATTTCTACTTCTAAGCAGGCGTCTAACTGTTTGTATGCCGTGTTCAGTGGGTGTTTTGGCAATTTTTTGCTGAAAATATCTGTTGCCACCGGAAACAAGACTTAATAAGAATAAACCAAATAAACCAAAGAGTAAAGTTGTAGGTTGTCAAACCTAAAGTATGTTCTGCAAGGTACTTAAGTAAAAACTGGTGATCATTTCCAGGGAGTTATAAGTCATGAATGACCACCACATACTGTAATCATCCAAAAAGGCACACGATGGTCTCTTGTGTGGATTATGGGTCCTCACATTTCTTAAGAGGTCAGTTGTGGTACCAGAAACCTTCTGGCGGTGTGGTCTCTGATGTGAGGTTCTGGCAGTGAGAGGCAGGAGAACCTTTTTTGGTTTGGGACTCTCACCTCTTCACTTCTACTCGACTCCGGCAGCCTGTTAGAGATTGTCTTGGAGCGAGGCCCGGCATGTAATCTGTTTGTCTCTGCATTCTGCATGGAAGACGGTCACTGCCAGAGTTGTTCATTTGGAATGAAACATTTATTGCTATGAACATTTTATAAAACTATATGAATTCATACTATGAAGCTGTCAATCTCTCAGGAGGACATCGGTCCATGCGAAATGAATCAGTCATTGTTTACACAGGGAGGGCCTACGTGATGTTTCTGACTCATGCAGTTAACAACATCTCCACGTATCGCAGTTATTGTGAGGACATTTTGAGAGCACTATTTTATCTTTTTACTATTGTATTTCCAAACCTTTATTTGCCAAGGGAAGGGGAGTGAGCATCTTTGCTCACTGCCATTCTCTGCATCACACTCGTAATGTTCCACACAGTGACTCCAGGCAGCTGACCAGTATGACCACGGTCTTCTGTTGCTGAAAGCTTATCAGTGCCAAGGGAGCAGTTGGAGTTCATGAGGCTGTCTTGATGACCACTCAGTAACCCCACATTGCAACAAATATAAAAGGAGGAAAAGAGAGCCTCTTCTTGGCAAATTACTATCTGAGGACAGCGTGAAAAAGGTTTTGTGTGGAGTAATTTGGATTTCTGATGTCTTCGAAAGAAGTCAGAAGATCATAAAGTATAGAATAGTTTCAAACTACTACTGAAATTCAGTGAATGTGCTGAACAACCACAACAGTCACCCTTGGCTAAATACTAAAGCCCTTAATCAGGACTATGACTTTGTCCAAGCAGAGCGAGTCCTTTAGAGGCCCCCTTTCCTTTACAGCTTGCTACTTTGTAGATTGAAGCTTGAAGTCTGCTAAAGCCACCGAAGAGACAGTGATTTGTTCACTTTGGTGCAGTTTGGAGTCTTCTGAGATTTGGAGATTATTATCAAAGTTTATTTAAATTTTGTATTGAAATCAATGAATTTCATAGTTTTAACCTGTAACCCTGTTCTAGAGCGTCTGTCTATGTAGAAGTTGAACAATTTTGTCAAGTAATAGTTGACATTATGAGGCAACGTGATCTCCAAAACCTGTTCGTAAAAATGTATACGAAAATCTTGAACATACAAATTCGTAACAATACATACGAACTGGCGGTGGTTAACCACGCCCCTTGAGTGAACAACATGGCGGACCATGTTGGATTCTTGAGTGAAGGTCTCTCCGCCATGTTGGATTTTTTGAGGGGGTTAGGGTTAGTATTGTATTCTCATGATTTAACATTGATTTCTCGTTAAAAATGCAATCATAACACGTTTATTTTACATCGTTAGATTTCACACTTCACAAGTGTGTTTACGGGGTGCAGGTCCCCATTCACTTTAAATAGGGTGACGTCATCGGTTGCAGTCCGTATTTATTTAGTATGTATCACTACGAATTTGTATGTTCAAGATTTTCGTACACATTTTTACGAACAGGTTTTGGAGATCAGGCTGTATGAGGGATACTTTCACTTTTGGCCAACTGATGACTTCGCTTTGGACAAGGAGGAAACAGCGTCCGTCTCCGTCCATCTCCAAGCACGTCTACAGCTCATTCATCAACACATTACAAGCTATTTTGTTTAATTTGTTGGACCAAACCAGATGAAAATGTAAGTACGACAATTAGACTTTTCCCTGGCTTATGTTCCTGACTATTTCATTGCAGGGACCGTTTAGCTTCTGGGAGTCTCTGCTGGTTTCCTGCCAGCTCTTCCTGCCATGTGAAGTTTATCCCTCCGAACAGACGCTGTGATAAGTCGTGCCGCTCGTGGACTAGTCGAGTGTCCAACAAGTGAAGTAATCCAGTTAACTTTGGATTTAACGTCATTGCTTTTGCTTTCAACTTAAAATGTGCTTTCCACATCTCACCAAATAACATTTTCTTTCCTCTCGATCTTCACAACAATCTGTAATGTAAATGATTCCCTGTGATTTCAGTCTGGTGGAATGCATCCTTATCTGAGTCAGATTGCTCTGCATGACATTCAAAGGGATTTTTGTTCCCTCAACTGTGTGTGAAATCTCCATGGCACAGTGCAGCCGGCATGGTGTGCCACTGCCGCATTGTGAGTCAGTTCACCCAGTGTAACAACCTATTCCAGTTGTGAAAGTACCCCGAACAACCATTTCAGCAGGTCTGTACCAGCTTGAAGCTCAATTACAGTATGTGTCACAAGAGGGGCTGAAAGGGGGGTTTAACCCTCACCACAGGCCATAACTCAGGTGCGAGTTTCCTCAATGAAACAGACAGCTGAGTTTGGGCTTCAGGAGAAATTATTTTTCATCAATAAGAGATGGAATGGTGCGAATTAAAGTTTTGTAAAGGGCTTGAGGAGGCCGACAGGGTTCTCTGCTTGCTACATTTCATCAGCTCCCAACCAGGACAGAGAGAGAATGTTTTTTTTGCTGAAACTCCATTAAACAGGTGGCCCTCATTTTCTTCTTTTCAAGGTATAAATCTCCTTATTTGGGTAGTTAAAGGAAAACGGTGCCATGCGTTATTTTAATTCCTGGGTCAAAGTTATGAGTCACGTGGGATCATTATGTCCCTCCAGGAAATTACTGGCAATTTACAATCTATGTCGTAGTCCCTGGAGACTGCGGCGTTATCGGACGGAAGGGCGCGCCCACACGCGCGCTCCCAACTTGGTGAGGTGTTCCTCACTGACTGTACATTCCGCGCGGACCAGCTGATCCGTGCAGCACCATGACTCTGTCCAACGGCCGGTGGCTTTTGTGCGCCGTTTTGCTCTCCGTGGCCGCCCGTTTCGGGTCCTGCAGAAGACACAGCGAAGGTAGGATGGCCGAACGAAACACATGCGCGTGCAGAATAGTTCTTTCAACTTTGTTCAGCGCGTTCACAGTTCGTCTGAGCTGCTGCAAGACGACGCAAGGGGACGTTTTAGTCTCGAAAGTCGCGCGTAAAAGTGGAGCTTGGTCTAAAGTTTGTCTGCACATCCTGGGGTTGGTTCATTCTTGTTTGGGCTTCGCATGTAGTGGTTATTTCTCAGCAGTAATTGTTGTCCTCTATATGCAATATTGATTTCACATTTATTGGTTTTCAAACAGAAATATGTAATATGTATAACTCAACACACAAAAAAACACATCTACTCTGCCACTCTTTTCCGCGCAGTGGTCAATGACGCGCGCACGCACACACACACACACACACACACACACACACACACACACACATATGCGCATCCGTAATCTCTGCTTTGACTGCTGCCCATCGACATCTCCGCTTTATTTTGTTGCGTCGGAGGCCTTATTCGTGATGCTAAGGGGGGGATGTGGCGTCAGGCTGGAGCAAAGTCCAAACCGGCAGCCGTTCTCACACACCTGAACCGCCGGGCACTTCCTGCTGGCGTTTCGCAACAGGCCTTCCAGGCTGTAATGAGGCTGTTGGGATTGGATGTCAGACACCCGACAAGCTGAGAAAGGTCTCAGCAGAGGCGGGTGAGATCCGAAGGGGGAAGAGAAACTGCACTCCTCCGTCCCAGGGAACAAATATTGAGCCTGGCTTCACTAATTAGTCGAGGCGGTTGACCGGAAAGTGCAGAAAGGTCATTCCAGCTGTGGTAGGTCAGAAATGTCCATCTGCAGGTGATGGACTTCGCTGTATGGCCTTAATGTCGGTGTCTGCCTTTCTTACCTTTCAGATGCCGTACAGCTGGTTTGTGCGTCTCTTCCCTGTATGGAATGAACATTTACAGTCTTAAGAGCAGCACTATTAGTACTATTAGGATTAGTTGTTATATTTAAGTAAAAAAAGCATGTGGTTTTTCTAAAAGGTGCGATACAAACTAACAAAGATGGGATGGCCCCTTCAGGCTTGGTTGCATTAGGGTTCTTTTTACCAGGACTGTATTAACCCTTGAGTGGACCTTGGGGCAGAATTGAGTGGTTTGCCCCCTTTAGCTCCCCTAGTTCTTCTCACTCACTTTGCGTTTTGAATGTATCCTGTTATATCAATATTACATTGAAGCCCATGCAAAGCAAGTTAACACCGTGATGATTAACCATATGGGAATTACTCATTTATAGTGTCACTCTATAAACATAAACACGGTGATATACTGAGAGACGCCTTGTATGTGTTTGATAGTACTTTAAAGTGGCATCTAGAAGAGATTGAAGCCAATGCAGTAAAGGAAATCTCGGTATTACGTTAGAAAGACTTTGTTCCCGTCACCAGTTAAGCTGCTGGATTTTTGGAGCAGTTCCATCGCTCGACTGTAGTTGAGGCGATAGTCAAGTAAAATATATAATCCAATTTTGATATTCCTCAGATGATAACAACTTTGTATTTTAGACTTTGTATTTTGCTTCAGGCCCGAAGCCAAAGAGTTTTGGGTGTTGGCTTAATGTTCGGAGTACATATAATTTATGGCAATGGTTTTCATGGTTTCACCCCTGTTTAGCCTTCCTAAAAAACAGAATATAAGTTAGGCTTTCTTTCTGCTGGGTGACATCCTTGTTTGCAATGAACAGCAACAACTTGATTGTTATTACTGATTGTTTCTGGCATTTGTCCCTGAAGCAACAGTTTAGTGTCCATATGAAAAGACAGCTGACGGGTTGCTCAACTTATATGGAACAGCAATATTTATGGTGTTGCAAACAGATTTTTTAGATCCTGATGAATATTTTCTTCTGCATTTTTTTAACTCTATTTATGAGATCCCTTCATCTTCTTATAGCTTTTCCCTTGGCCAAGAATTTAACATATGTTGCCTTTAATAAGCCATCAGCAATTTACTGATTGTTGACATTTGCAAACAACTCACGTTTACTGTTTCAAAACCGTAGTTTTTAAATATTCTAAAATAAAAATGTTGTCTTCAGGCAATATTCCAAAATGCATTCCCATTCGGCCATTATACTTCACTTCCATTAGCGATATGACAATACAAGCCATCGGTAAACACAAAGAGGCAATCGGAGCTACTTACAATCCAGGGCCCTTTTGTGCTCCTGGGGAACATTAGCTTTCACTATTTGCATATCATGAAGCTGCTCTGGAGAGGTGAAACCAAAAGGGACTCACTGAGCCCCTTTGAAACTCAACATCAGTGTCATGGGTGCAAAGTCTCCGTAGCTTCATTAATCGTCTCGCGGAGGAGTAAACATTGTGTTTCATTAATTTGTGGAGACCTTTAATTAGATGCTCACTCGCTGTTTGAAGTGGCCCTTTTACTAGTAGGCCTCAGGCCATGGGGGCGGGGAGGGGCTGTGTCGCATGTGCCGTCTTAATTACCTACGCAGTAAGGATTAGTCTATACTATCGCAATTTTGAGTCCATTAGACGAATAGACTTCAGTGGAAAGTGACGACACTTCTCTGCTAACGTGTACTGCACTTGCTGGTACGGAGGCCTTTGGTTCTTTTGTTAAGACAGAGAGTTCTGTCTCAACATGAATCTCACATTCAAGCAATTTCACTGCAGCGAAAGCAGCAGCTCTTTCAGGGGATGACATCAGCACTATAATGTGGACTATAAATAAACCAACCTGTATAACATCTTCTCTGAATCACGCAGTTCATTACTCTGCGTCTGTTTTCTTGAGTTCTTAGTTGGGTACATTGACTTTTTCTCTAAAGACTTTAAAATTCAAATGAGGTTCAGTGTGAGGGGACAGAAGGTCTGTGACCTCCTGAACTGGCACATGGTTTCCTCTGTTAAACAGATCAGTTTTGATCATTCAGTCCATTGGGGATCAGGACAGTATCCCAGGAACACCTGTTGTGAAGTGTAAATGTTTAGGTGTAAACAAAGTGTTCTCTCCCGTCTCCTTCAATCATGAATAACAATGCAATCTCTCTCTTTGGTGTGGAGGTGACCAATGGAGAGCTGATCAAGTCAACAAGGTGTTCCCTCCCATCTCCTGCAGTCATGAATGTCAATACCATTTCTCTCTCTTTGAAGTGGAGATGCCCAGTGGGAACTGACCCGGCCTCCCCCTCCCCCGAGGAGGAGGAGGAGGAGGGCACAGATTGTGACCCTAAAGCCTAGTTTGTGCTTCTGCGTTTTCAGAGCGACGCAGACGCAAGACCCCCTTGCCCGGCGGGCCGGAGTTTGAGACCCCTGCTCTAAAAGGACCTATTGTAGACTTCTGTACTTCCTTGTTACACTAAATACTACGAGCGCCGTTGTTTTCGCCAATTAGAATTCCAAGCAGCCCTGTTTCCTGTGGTGCATTCAGGTGGCCGCGTGGATTAGATAACGATGGCCAATAGTGGCTTGAGTTGAGTTGCGTGAGTCACATTAATGGCAAGAAACGTGTAATCTTTGCTGCACTACAGCACATCCTGTGACCGTCAATGACAGTCCTCAAACTGCATTTGCTGTCTTGTCAAGTGTTTCTTCTGCTTCCTGACCATAAGCAGCCACTAATGGGAAAAAAATACACTGTTGACTCCCACTCCAGATGTGGCCCATCATTGACATCTCCAGTTTTCTCCCCTCACAACGCCACTGTCCTTCTCCGAGGCAAAGGGTGAAATTCCTCCCGTGTAGGACAGTGGTTGTCCAGTTTCCTTCTCACTGTCTCAGTAATTTACAGTGAGTGTACTGTGTATCTTCACATGAAGTTAATGCATGATTTATGCAATGATACTATTTCAGTACCCACCTCGACGTTGATGTCCCCACAGCTGAGTTACATTTCAAATCTAATTGACGGTGAACAGCTGGTTCGTTTTAAAACAACTAGTGTTCCAAAGTCTTCACTGAGTCTTTTTTTGTAGGATAAGAAATAAGGAACAGGAATTTTAGTTCAGAGCACGAGTTGACTGTATTTCCTAGGCCTGAGATCGTGTAATGTAACCTTTTAGTTACGGTGAAAACTTGGAAATAGGCAAAATACACATCCACATGCTGCACAGGCCTAAACCTACTCCCTTCCTGCCGATGGCTCCTCACGGGTCCTCTGATTGGTCAGAATCACCGTGGTGTTCGGACACAGACAGATTCATAATTGAAGCCTGACAGGATTGGTGTTCTTGTGATCTCGTCTCCCGGTGCCCTCGCGTGATCTCGGGATAGTGGGAGAGTCCCGCTGTGCGAGGTCAACCGTAACGAAACCAACGAAATGCTGAGTGTGTGTGTGTGTGACGACAACACGTGACTCATCAGATGCTCGACAAAAGCGCCACGCCTTTGAATCATTAGTACTGCACATCCGTTTAAATGACTGGCTGCAATGCAACATGGTGAAGATGTGTATTGCTGTGAGAGAAAATGCCTGATCCGTCGAGGTGGACAACAAATGGTGGAGCATGAGACACTTTAATCTGTGTGCCCTATGACGTCTGTACAAATTGGTGAAGTATACTTACTCGGCTCTATATTTAGAGAGAAGACGGTGTCTCCTTGGTAATTTCTCCACTGACGAGATGGTTCGCTGCTGCAGCAGAGCCGCCTCAGAAGGGCAGTCTCAGAGCAAACTCATTTCCAAAACCAACAACCCAGAAATCTCTCTTGTCATCTTGTTTGCTCACCGGCAGGAGAAGTAAGGAACAACTCATTGGCAACTGGCTGATCATCACATACCAGATGAAAATGGACGGAAATGAGTTTTATCATGTGCAGAAATGAAGTTTTAAAGCGAAGCACCACCTAAATTTAGAATTAATATATTATTTCTATGGCCTTGGAAATTTCAAACCATATTTGTGAACATGAGCTATTTTTTATGTGCAGTCCACGAAGCAATTACGAACGTCACTTCAGTTTTACGACTTTGCATTTGGGATTTGGCAGAGGTCTGTTCACGCCTATTGACAGTAC